TATAAAAATCTTTCTTTATTCCCACTTTTTACATTTCAAATGGGGAACCAAATACTGTAAGCCACATTCTCTGTGGGAAGAGGCCTTCTTTCCACTTCCCTAACCATAAACCATTTCCTAGGGTCCAAAGAGTAGCCGGAGTCAGGCCAAGAGATGTGACCAACACTATAGCACAGTATCTAGTATTGCAGCTGAGTATAATGCAGAATTTGGTCTACTCAGAATTTTAAATCTCTAATATCCAATATACTCATGAGTAAAGACACAAATGACATAGCTAATTTTGAAAAGGCTTAATCAGTAACTACTTAGTCATGATATATCATAAACAACTCACGTTGATATTTACTCATTTAGTTTACCTGTTAACATGCTTTCATTTACAATGCAGGTACCATTAATAAGTACAGCATCGCAAGGCATTATTGTCCCATTTAATGGAATGACCATGACATCTCCTGGCACAAGGTCAGTAGAAAAGATTTCTTCTATTTCTGAATTTAAAGAAAGAAAGAAAAATCTGAAAAAGATATTCTTTACTTTGGAAAAATACAGCAAATACTATTCAGAAGTCATCTGATCTCAACAAGAAGTTAATAATGTAACGGGGCAAAATAGAGAAATCCAATAAATGGCAAGTTTTAACAAATAAGATTATTAGGCTAACAAAAGCATGGTGTGTCAGCTAGTCTCCTGCTAGGATACCAACTGTGCACAGGTGATGCCAAGTACCCTCTGACGAAGCGAGTAAGTGTGTTTCAACATTCATGATAACTGTCCATGATAAATGTTGACTATTAGCCTAAGGAAGAGACACAATGAGTACACAAAGGAGATTCCTGTGAAACAGGTCACACTAACTCAGATTTCTATAATCCCCTGAAAACAGAAGGAAGCACTAGAAAACTTGGCATATTTTCTTTTCAACAGCGTATCTATATTCCTTTTCTCATTGCTACTATTTATAACCTTGAAGTCTCACTGCCTCCTCAATATTCCTAAATTACTTTTTTTAGATATTATTTTAAATATGAGTAAATTCATTAAATAAATTAAACACTGTATATTTTATCTAGTTCATTATTTCCTTACAAATTTAAGTTAGTGAAACACTTTTTTAAAAGATCTTCCCTCTGGTTGAGTTGGCGTTTGAAAAAAGGAAAATGAAAATGAAAAGATCTTCCAAAGGGTAAAAAGGTTTTCTTTAGAGTCACCTTATATGTAGGTAGGTATTCTCTTTCTTTTCCTCCATTCTCTAACACCCTCCCTCTCCCTGCCCAAGTTTAATACTGTGCTCAGAAGACAGTCACACTAGTTTATAAATGGAGATGGATGAGAAGAAATCTATTGTTTGTGATGTTAGCCTGGAAGACAAATACTCTCTTTCCTTCTTTTAAAAAAGGAAGTAATTTACTAAATTATGAGGGAAAAACTTTTAAAGAATGACATTTAGTACATAGTAGATATATCGATCTTCATTTAAAAACTAAGATCCCTTCTTTTAAAAATTCGGTTTTTCTTTAAAAAGAAAATAAACCATTCCTCAGACAGGAAGAAAAAAGTAAAAATTTGACTTTTCTTAAAGCTTTTAAATGCCACTTGGAAGTTCTACTCCTTTTAGGTGTACCAGAAAACAAGGTATCAATGAGATGTAAGACTATACAGAGTGGGTAAGGAAGATTCAAGTTGAACGGTATCTGCCCTAGCGTCCCCAGTATCTTCAGCAACAGCAGAATAAGAAGAGGAAAGGCATCAGTAAGCTACACATCTTAGACTTCAACTAAGGGAGGCAGATCTTCCCAGCTAGAGTAGCAGGTGGCCGGGAAGCACAGGGAAGGAAGCAATCTCTTGGGTGTAGTTTGAGTCAAGAAAATGGAGACTGATTTGGTGTTCTGAGTAAATCAAAGTGGCTTCTGCCTCCAAGGCCCATGATGCTGTGCTGCCTCCTTTACCTCTTCAACATTTTGCCAGACAAGTTACATGTCCAAAACATTACCCTTCTTACAAGTCTACTTCTCTTCCAGAGTTTCCTATTTAACTAAATAGCACCAACATCCATCCACCTAGCCGGACACCGCTCCATGGCCTCATATACAATGAGGTAAATCCTGTTCAACGGTCACATTTCAGTATCTTTCGAACTCATTTCTTTTAATCTCCACAATCCCTACCTTGATTCAGTGTGGCTGGGTGGGGGGGGGTCATGCCTTCAGTATTATTCTCCTTTAAACCAGTCTGAATGTGGACACCAGAATGACTTTTTTCCAACGGGCACGTACTTGATCACTCCTCTGCGTAAAACCCTTCGATGGCAGCTATGCATAGTGGCTCATGCCTGTAATCCCAGCATTCTGGGAGGCCAAGGCGGGCAGATCACTTGAGGCCAGGAGTACCAGACCAGTCTGGCCAACATGGTAACACCGTTTCCACTAAAAGCACAAAAATTAGCTGGGTGTGATGGTGTGCATGCCTGTAATCCCAGCACTTTGGAAGGCCGAGGCGGGTGGATCACTTGAGACCAGGAGTTCAAGACCAGCCTGGACCCTATTTTTACTAAAAATATAATACTGGCTGGGCGTGGTGGCACATGCCTGTAATCCCAGCTACTCAGGAGGCTGAGGCACAAGAATTCCTTGAACCTGGGAGGCGGAGGTTGCAGTGAGCCAAGACTGCCACTGCACTCCAGCCTGGGAGGGAGACTCTATCTAAAAAATAAAATAAAAATAAAAATAAAATAAAAATAAAAATAAAATAAAATATAAAATAAAATAAAATTAAAAAATAATAATACCATTCAATGGCTTTCCACTGTCTTTTGGACTGAGCCCAAATCCCTAACATGTCTCAGAGAGCTAGCCATCATTTATAGTTGCTATATTTGTCATACTAAATTTCTTCTTTCAGTTCTCACAATGTCCACACAATCTCTAATTTCTAGGCCTTTGGGTATTTAGAACACTCTTCTCTCCTTCTCTCAGCCTCCCCTTATCAACTTCTCACCTACTTCTTATTTGGCTAATTCAAATAATCACCAGTGAAAAGCACTTAATCAAAGATGTCATCCCTGATACCTACAGTAAATGAGCTCCTCCTAATATGTAAGTTGGCTGACTTCTCCTTATCATAGCATTTATCACACTTCACTGTTACTGTTACTATTGTTATCCCTACACCGAATCCCCAGAGCCCAGCACAGTGCCTGTTACATAGAAGAAAAATATAATTTTATATAAATAAATGAATTTGATACAAACTCAGGAACTGAAATATATACTTTTAGTTCTTAAAAAAATGAATGTATGTGCAAGGCAGAGTGGCTCAAGACTGTAATCTCAAGACTTTGGGAGTCTGAGGCAGGAGGATCTCTTGAGCCCATGAATTCAAGGCGAGTATGGGCAACACAGTGAGACCTCGCCTCTCTAAAAAAAAAAAAAAAAAAATTCAGCCAGGCATGGTGGCACAAGCCTGCAGTCCCAGCTACTTGGGAAGCTGAGACAGGAGGGTAAGTTGAGCCACTGCACTCAGGCCTGGGCAACAGTGAAACCCCATCGACTTAAACAAAAAAAAAGGCCGGCTGCAGTGTGCAGTGGCTCAAATCCGTAATCCCAAAACTTTGGGAGGCCCAGGTGGGCAGATCACTCAGCCCAGAAGTTTTGAGACCAGCCTGAGCAACATGGCAAAACCCTGTCTCTTAAAAAAAAAAAAAAAATACAAAAATTAGCTGGGCATGGTGGCATGCACCCGCAGTCCCAGCTACTCGGGAGACTAAAGTGGGAAGATTACTTGAGTCTGGGAGGTCAAGGCTGCAGTAAGCTGAGATTGCGCCTTTGCACTGCAGCCTGAGT